TTCGTGGAATATTTAGGCTATCAAACAGCGCAATATGTGGATATCGGAAAATATTTTCCTAGTTCGTTGGATATTCTTGTCTATCTATCAGTGCCTAAGATTTGGCTCCTATATATACTCCAGGCGGTGTTGGCTCTTCATAGATTCAACATAACAATTAGATCATTGTTGTATACATTATAAATTTGAGAAAATTGATTCTTGTAAAGACAATTTTAATTTCTTGATATAATAATTTCTCCTCCTTTTCATCAAAATCTTGATTGTTGTGTAATCCATTATTTTTATATTGCTCATATTACGTCTTTATTATTTAGCCAAATTCTCAACATATATATGAAATGAACAAATTATTTCTTCTTTTTTTTTTCTCGTTTCCCTTTTGTAGGTGTATTCTTCTAAAATGCTAATAATATTGAAGATAATTTTCATCCCGAGATATGAAAACTTGCACTGAAGACGAACATTATACCTGCGATGAATGCTATTCTTCACAGTTTTCTGCCCATATTTTCGCCATTTGTACCCATCATCAAGAATGTCTTCTGCACTTCTGGCATGAAAAGCCACCCTTGGTGGAATATATTTATTCTTTCTTCCAGATTTCACGTTATTTTTGTTTACATTCTCCCCTTCATTCATGTTCCTAGACAACGTTGATAAACTTGGAAAAAACAAGTTTTCACCTCCATTAACCATGGAACTATCCGAATCAATATCTAAGGCGTACTGAGAGTTTTGCATGGGTTGGTCTAGAACTACAAGGGATAGCGAATTCCGCATTGGAAATGAAGGAGCGAAAAGATAAGAGAAGATTTCGCCTTCCATGCATAAGGTCGACAAAGATTCTATTAAGATTTGGACTGGGAAAATTTAGATGATGATCAAAGATTTATGGGGTAAACAATTTTTAGACTTGATGGACAAATGGATGAAGGGAAAACTTCCTTTGGAATGTAAGGAATGAGGCCTTAATTAACTCGTACCCTTGAGAAATTAAGCCAACCACAATTCACCTACTTTGATCAGTTCAACTCCTTTAAGGTACAATATGATAATTGGCTCGAATGTGGTAAAAAGTACATGGTATAATAAAATGTTAGACAACTACACTAGGTTTAATATTTTCTTGAGGTACAAACCAATTGAGTCCAGTTAAGGTTGTTTGGAAAATGATAGAGATAACACCTCTTGATGGGCATAACCATATAGAAAACTTCCATGATTTAGTCTCATGGTTGCAAATATATTTTAGGGAGAATTAATGCCAATATATTCATCTACACACCAAATCTTCATCACATCGGAAAATATTAACGACGTTGCATGCACACGTGTAGTGGCTCTTTATTTATTTATTTTGATGTTTTTTTTTTTTTTCTTTTTGTGTAATGCTAGTTAGAATTTTTTTTTTCTTATTTCAATTTTATCACCAATAGCAAGCATAAAATCGTAAGATTGTAAGCCCCGTATCAAATGCGCACAAGTAGGATTTTTTCTATATGTTTATCATCAAAATAATTAAAAAATTTATATGTCAAACAACATATATCTGATTCCATGAGAAACGAAATATACAGTATAATAAATGGCGTGTGTGCGTGTATAAGTATATAATTAATAGGAAGCAATGCTTCAGTAATACTCATCTTTATCAGAGAAACACACTTTCACTTGCGTGAATTTCGTTTTGTTTGAAAATTGTTTTTCTGAAATATTCACTTGACAGGTTCCACATATATCAAAGTCTCAAGTACGACTTTCAGTTTGTCCCAAATGCAATTGTTTTGACTTATATTATCTCGTTATTTTTTATTTTATGTTGGTTGTGATTCTCGTTGCTTTGTTCTATCCCAAAGTAAGGGAAACAAAGTATCCTCATAAGGTAGTGTCTCAAAGTTTGAATTCTCATAATTAGTAGATGAATTTATTGTATGCCTTCTTGCCCGTTGCGATATGATTTTGTGTATGTTTGGTGAAGCTTAATGTTTGCTCAACTTTCCTATTGTATCCCCACCACAATGGTACCGGTTGAGGGGAGGTTAATTACCAGGGTCTAACATGCAACTCAATGGATTGCCGTTAGGATTGTTATTGTAGGGAATAGAGGTTTCGTTGTGAAATGTCAACTTTTTAGGTGGAGTAATTTAATTTCTTATAAGCTCATTACTTCCTCTATATTCAGCTGATGTGAGATTTTATTTGCACTTTTTTCCAGTTATCCAAATTATTTTCTAACTACAACTCTCAAGGAAAAATCTCGTAAAGTCATCCATGGTTGGCTTTGGCAACTAATCCCTAACATATAGTTACACTAGAAAGGTGCATCCAATCCTCACTCTATGCTCTCCCTGCCAACAGTGGGCTGCAATGATGGCTACTCAACACTATTCTTGCACCATATTCAATCCGTATATATATGCTCACACGGTGCCATATTGGTGGTGGACCTAATTCAAAATGATCTAGCATTGATTTAGTCAGACTCTGCACATTTGGATCCCACCACAGTCATGGGTGCAGCTTTTGAGGGATATGTGGCTGCTCTTTTTGGCCTAAATAAAGAGGACTGTTAAATGGTTTATTGTTATACAACCTCTTGTTTTTGGTGGTAAATACACAGACACAGATACACTAGGAAATATAAGGGACTAAAATGTGACTGATCAAATACTTGTATGAGTATGTATGTTTGGTAAGGTAAATTAAATAGTAACATATAGTCCATATTTGGCTCTCATTAAATTTTAATTCATTTTTCACTCTCTTATAAATCACACATTTTCTTAATAAAGTAATATTACACGTAAATTTAAAAATTCTCCTAACCACATATTCTTCAAAAAATACTATTCCAAAATTAATTTATTTAATGGAGCTCAAACAAGGGCATAGTACTAAAAGAAGAAAAAGAATCTAAAATTTCACATCATCTCTTGTTCAGTTTATAATCGATAAATGGTATTCGCTTCATTGAAATTACAACATTTATGCATTAATGAAGATATGAAGGAGTAACAAAATGTTGGTACAAATTGAAGTTGCATTATCCAGCACCATTAAAATTAAACATCCTCTTGCAGGTTATATTCAGGTGCTAATTTTTGTTCTGAATCTTCTAATATTAGCAAGAACTCAAAGGAAATTGTTGTGCTGAACTATGGCAGCTGATAGGCAATATCTCTAAATTATATCCATCAAACTCTTCTAACCCGGAGAAGAAATCATCACCAAATATCAACTCTTCACCTTCTTTACCGTCTTGATTGCTTTGTACTTGAAAAAAATCTTCATCCACTGGTGAAGGCAGAACGGTTTCTGGAGCAGAAATTCTAGAACCAGAAATGGAATCCACAGCTCTTTCCTGCTTGATATTGGTTCTATAAGTTGAGCTTTTTGATGCTGGAAATTTCTGACGGATGGTACCGGCTAAAGAATTTCTTCGTGTAGGCTTGCTGTGGCTATGTTCTGCAGTGTATGTTATGATAAACATGCCTGGATCAGTATAGCTTTGCTCAACTTGTTTTCTTGCCAAGCATCCTTTTGAGCTGCTACATCTATAGTAGCTTCTGTTTTTCACATAGAAAAAGCTACTTCAGTACATGATGGATTTTGTATGCATGCCTATGAGTGAGCTAGATTTTGTTCTACTGATGCCATTGTTATTGTACAAAAAAAGCAAAGTACACAGATTTATAATAGTTCATCCATTAGAATTAGAGTTACATGTCCACTCTACAAGTTTTCACTATAAAGAAGAATATTACAATATCACCCTTGTCTGTGTCACAATAAAACAGCCACTGAATTTTTTTTGTATGTAATACGACTATGAGATCGATTCTGAGGAAAACTGAACATCATGAATAGGCTTCACTCAGTCTATAAAGCATCCAAGCACTGCTGCACTCTGTGTGCGTGTGTGTGCGTGTGAGAGAGAGAGAGAGAGAGAGATGAACCTCGGATGGGGGGAACCCTTGATAGGTTTCTGGCCATATTTGCGCCAAGCCCAAATATCAGAAGTGAGGCCCTCAGCAGAAACTTGAACCACAACTCTTTTATGCTGATTCTTCCTGAGAATAAACACTGAATACTTTTCATGTTCCAATCTTAAGAAAAATCATAACTACATGAACTCACAATCAAATATAAACTAGAAAGTTAAAATTTATATTTTAGCAAACCTTCTCTTGTATTTTGGTGTATAAGCAGCAGCCATACTAGTAGAATCACTTGTCTCAGAAGGATTATAATCAGTCTGCTTTTCTTGAACAACATTTGCCGGAGTTTCTTCTTTAAATTCAACAACAGTCTCGGCAGGAACAGAACTTGTCACGGCTGGATAAAACGGCTTGTAAAGCTCTTCTAGTTCATCACCGGAAAAATTAAAAATTTCAGGAAAATCGAAAATGAACCCATGATCAAATTTCTGATCGATCCCAAAAAAGGAATTTTGATCATCAACACCTGTATTGATAATATTGGTAAAATCACCACTAAATCCTCTAACTACAGCCTGCAAGCCCCAATCTTCCATCCCACAAAACTCCTCCATAAACATGAAAAAGTTCTTGAATAAGCAAATACAAAAATAACAAAATTTTATAAGCAGGCTTTGACTTTCTCGATTCTGAAGGATTTCCAAAGAGAGAAACCTATGAGAAAAATGCAAATGGAAGCTTGTTTATATATACAAAGGGCCCTGTACAAGAACTAGAGGAGGCAGTTTTTTTGCATTATTTCCCATTGGATTGGGTTGACTTTTGATGAATGTCAAAGGTGATCCAGCTGCTGATAAGGAAATTATGCAGCACACGCTTTCACCGCAATCACTCGCTTTTCAGACCATATTGTTGACGAGATTTTGAAGACCAAGAACAGATTAAAATATTGGATTAAGCTGAAATTTCAGATTATTTTAGTGTATTATCCTTTTTTTGCTTATGTCATTTAAACGTGGGTGTGATGGTTATTAAACAAAGGAAAATTTAAACTCCCAATTCCATTTTCGACTGGGAAACAGATTTGTGTAGAAAATTGTATTAGTTTTGTCATAAATCAGTGATCAGATACTTCATTATTTGTAAAATTATGTTTTTAATATGCTTCTTTTTTTTTTTTTTCCTTATGGAGTAAATTCCCATTGATAACTTTCACTTTCTTCAAAATTACATATCGATGATTTCCGTTAGTTATGTCCTTCACCAATGGAAAAACATCGGCATTAGAAACAAAACAAAAAAAAAAAGTCACCTATTGCTGTTTTTAGCGGATAAAGATAAGCTTCATAAACACTATAGAAAGCGTTCTTTACTTAATTTAATTTTTTTCCAAAATGCTACTCTAATCTACGCCTATTAAAAAGATTTCTTAGATATTTTGGTGTATTATGCGTATAAACACGCAATCTCAATTGTGTGACATTATCAAATTGCATCTCCACAATGTAATGTACGTAGTGATCGAATTAATTACATCGATTTATTCTAATTATTGACTTTTCCCGTAAGAAAATATCAATTTGGACACCTTTTCCTAGTCTTTTCATGACACAATTTTTCTAATCCATTAATTACAAACTTTTTTATCCCCATTAATTAGTATAATGGATGGCCTAACTACTTAACAGGCTATTGAAATATTGATCTGTTAAACATTGGAAATTTTTAAATTTTTGTTTCCTTATACGAGGATAATTAATTTAAACTTCTAAATTTGTAATATTGTCTCCAGGAGCGTAACATTTTTCTAAAAAAATCTAAAAAGACAGATTTACTTATTTAACCTATGTCTTACCTCCATTTTTTCAAAAACTCGTTTTCAACCACATTCTCCCATAAAATAATTTTGGATACATCTGTTCATGAATTCCATCATTTTTCACTTTTTTTTGTTCACGTTGTTATTTTTCCTTTACTTTAAAGAAATATATAGAAAATTGTGAATTAATAATCGACAGCATAAAAATTATTATACCAAGAGTGGATGAATTTTAATTTATTTTTTAGATATTTTAAGCACGTAAACTCACATTTTTTAACCACGCATTCTCTAAAATTTCAAAATACATTTTTCCCAAAAATTAATGGGCTCAAACATGGTATTATATATATATATATATATATTAATTCAAACCGCAATACCCAGAGCGTTTATTAATACTAAAAATAAAATACAAACTTAATTAATTAAGAGCTGAAATACACGACCACACCCGGTCAGCAAAATTACAACCCAGAAAAAGTAAGGAGTTGAGGAAACTACTCATCCAAAGAGTAAAATATGTCCAACCCTATATCTCACGTCTTCATCGAAAAACTCTAGAATATAAACATAATATAAGAGTATGACCGATTTATCCACTTTTTTTGTTACTTCCAAAATTAATATAATTACATATCCATCAATTAACTGGCGGATAATTTTATGATGGATCCCAAAAATTATATTAAATTTGTTGAATTAATGTGTCGTGTCATCGTTATTTGTCTTATAATATATCATTTCTCACAATATATACACACACATGACCTCGGAACTATGCAACTTGCAACTATGTATATGGACGTTTTGAAACGCATGACCTCGGAGCGGTGGTGGACTTTGAATCTTGAAAAAGTAATAAAGCAAGTGGCATAGACGTGAAGTATATGGATATAGAAGAATGGACGATAGAGGGACCACGCAACCCTTGTTTCCATGCCTAATAATGTACTATGTGCATTTTATTCTTCCCTTGGCATTATTACGCCATGCATGCACCTAAAACACGGCATGTATATATATATATATAGACTTGTGTAGGTGTAGCTTGAATCTATCTCTAGGTTAGGGACTTGCATGCTTAGATAGGTGCTTACATTTGTACATACATGTAGGTGTATGTAAGTTATGCATACGTGTATACTCTAGGTTATGGACATATTAGAATTAATCTCATAAGAGTTTTTCACTGTTGCTGATATGGCAAGAAAATCTTAATTATGGTTTTCAGAATGTGTGAGTCGTGTTCACTAGAGGGCTGGAGATCAAAACTGAAGGACATAAATAGGAGTTTAATTTGTTTATATAAGTAATTAAATATACGTGTAAAATGAAAGCGATAAAAAGATAGATAGAAACAAGTTCGGAAGAGAAATAAACTTTAAGTACATTCGTTAATCAAGTATAAACATGTATGTTCAAACTACGACCAAATCAACAATGGGATGATAATTCAGCCTTAGATCGTATTGGAGAAGACATAACCAACATCGGTTTTGATCATTATTCAATAAATCACAAATATAATCTTGTATCCATTCGGGTGGAGAGAAGACTTCTACACTTGGAACAAGCGTAACCAGCTTTCTTCCAACTGCATGAAACCTTGGTTATGGACATGGACATAAAGATTTGATGAGGATTATTACATTTCGAATAGAGGTTTTGGGCCTATTCTAGTGTAATCTGAATACAACACTGCAGACAGTGATAAAGAGCTTTCAAAATTTATGACGAGATGTTTGGTTGTAGAGGCTCGAACCTTTGATCTATGATGTGCTCCCAAAAATGTGTTTTTGCTTAACTTGTTTTTCTTAATGGTGCACTTATTATGAGATGATGACACGTGATTTATCTCTGGCCCTTAGATTATTGCTTTGACGGTGTGAGATATATATACGTGCACTGTGCAGATAATTTTCATCTGGTTCTGTCTTTTGAGTTCTTCCGTCTTCTGAGTTCTTCTAAGAGTGTCATTTTCTTGTAGATTAGGGTTTGGTCCTTCGTGTTCTTTATTTCTCATGATGAACTTGTAAACTGAGATCATATTAGTTGTTAGCCTCTGTAATCTGTTTATCTGAGTGATTGATGTGAGAATAAGGGTTTTCTTGTAGTCGTGATTTCAGTCGAATGTTGTGGAGTTTCTTGTGTGATTCCTTTTAGATTTGTAGTTCAGTGTGAAAGAGATAAGTGTTATGTGCTTTTCTCTTGTGTTTGGAAGAATTATTTGTAACTTCTTGTCATTTAATTGGCTTATTAGTGCAGTCGAGCGAATATCCTTTATTTAGATGCTCAACGGGAGATGTAGGCGTTAGATCTGGTCGTCGAACCTCCAGGGCTTAAGCCGAAATAATTCTTTGTATTCAATCTTTAATTTTTGCAAGTTTACTTTCTGATCTGTTGATATTTGTTGGAATCTTGTTTTAATATCGTGTGTTGTGGGCCTTTTCATTGGTGAAGCGAAGTACGAAAAACGTTCATGCGATATAAAGTTCCTTTTTAACCCCTTAGCCCCAGTCATTTCAATTCGTTAAGTTTTTTGAACTATATTTCAGTGGCTAAAGAGGTCATATTGTATGCTTCCCTCCAAGGTTTTTATTTTATTATTATTTTCATATTCATAAATATTCCACCAGGATGGTCGTCTCTGACCAATAAATGATGCCAATGCAAGATATTTGTTGTTCTCCAACCAAAAGAAATCCAATTATTAGAGCTTTGGGTATTCTCCATCGTTTTGTGACTCAATGTGCTTGCTGATTTCAAAATATTTATTTTCTAAAACGATGAATCTTGATTCATTACAAGTGACAACATCAAGAATACCTAGAAATAGAGTAGACTGGAAAAATTCTAAACTATAGTTCGTGAAAAAGAGATGACTGAGACTGACTTGTGAAAATACTAAAATATAGTGTGAAAAAGAGATGACTGGCCTCTTAAATACTAAATTATAATATGTGAAAAAAAAAAAAAAAAAAGATGAGATGACTCATAGCTGAAGCCTCTAATTTGTGATGATGATTCCGCCTCTGAAACGAAGCGTGAAAAATGCTCATGATACATATATAGTTGATCATTTTAACTCTCTTAACTTCAGTATCTTCGTCTGTTTAAATTTTTTGAACTATAATTCATTGGCGGGAGGTCAAGTTGAAGGCCTCCATCCAAATTTTTGTATTCTATTAATATTCTCATATTAATAAATATTCCACCATTAACAATGATTTGATTAAAAAGAAAAATCTCCAATCAATAAATGATGGCAAGTCAAGATATTGGACGAAGAATGTTTCCGATTGGAAGTCCACATCTTGCTACTTTACCTTCTTAGGAGGAGGCAATTTGGTCACATGGAGGAGCAAGCTACAAAAAGTTGTGGCGTCATCCAGTGCCGAAGTAGAGTTCACAGGAATGACCAAAGGAATATGAGAAAAATCTTTAGTTTAAAAGGCTGGTAATTGAGATTGGCTTTGTTCGTGTGTGTCTCAAATGAACTTGTTTTGTGACAATAAAGGGAGGAAACTTCGTCCAGAGTTCTATTAATATTAATGGGTAGTTCCGGGATTTCTTCTGGGCACAGGCATCCCAGGTAATTCAATCTTATGGTTCTTTATTATCTGCATATGGACTTTTTGTCCTAGGTGCTCATTTTATATGGGCTTTTAGTTTGACGTTTCTACTTAGCGGACGTGATTATTGGCAAGAACTTATTGAATCCATTGTTTGGGCTCATAATAAATTAAAAGTTGCTCCTGCTACTCAGCCGAAAGCCTTGAGCATTGTACAAGGACATGTTGTAGGAATAACCCATTACCTAGCTATTGATATTTCTGATAATCCAATCCAGCATGATCATACTAAACACGTTGAGGTGGATCAGTATTTAACTAAATAGAAGCTCTATATCAAGATAATTCTTTATTTATTATCTTATTTATAAGCAATGAGAGAGGACGACAAATAAATAATATAATTTGGAAATCGAAAGTAAAAGATTATGACATCATATTACGAGATTCAAGTGTTGAGGATATTTTTAGTAACTATAAGGTATAGAATTTATATAGACATGTATAGATAGGGGCACCCAATTAAATAAATGGAAAGGATGAAAAAGGTACACACATTTTTCCCCAAAACAAAACTTCAACATCAGGTCGGTGGTAGAGTATTCAATATTTTACGCTGATGGAACAAGATTTTCTTGCAACTTGCTCATCATAATCAACACAAAAAAAAAAGGCGCAAAATGGTAGATTATTCAATACATCATGCCAGCGTGTTATATAAATTTACATTTTGAATATTACATTTTGTATAATAATTACAAAGAATATCATGAGTTTTATAAATAATGTCACTACTAAAATTTATGGAAAATCATTTTACAACCCAAATTTATCTATGATTCGAGTTGCTGTTTTTTTTTTTTCAACTTTAAAGTTTGAACGTGTTGAATCATCTTGTTTAAAAGCTTAAATTTTTAAGCTAGAGATAAAATTTATTTATTTAAAAGGAGTTCTAATGCAATAGTTTTTTTTTTAATGCAATAGTTTTGTTATATAATAACAAAAACTCAAAGTGAGAATAAAAAATTTATTATTTGTGCCAAACTTCATATCGACTTTGGCCAAGTCCAGTCTACGTTAGCTTGGATACTCGCAGAAGAAATCGGAACGGAGGAAAATTTGTTTACGACATAAGTTATAAAATAAGTTAATTTAGCCTATGGTCACTGAAGTATATGCAAAATTTCAAATCAATCCTCAATATTCGTGAATTTTTAGCTACAATTGTTCATAAACAAAGGCGATAATCCAGTATCAGCTCTTTTATTTTGTACAACAAAACATTGATTCTAAAATTACACAAATCGTCATTCATTGTTGATCCTCTACATCTAAAATCTCAATCATTTTTGCCCGTTTCCGTACACAAACTCACTCACTCATCTCAATTCAATTTCTATCTACTAAATAATATAAATTTCCAAGAACTCTCCTAAACTAATAGAATTGGCAAGACAAAATTCGGAAAAGAAAATAAAAAGTTGTATCAACTTGCAAACTTATTGACAAATACTGCATGGCAACATTGCATCGTTATGGGAAGATATGGGGAGGAACAAAATTGGTCAGGTCCTCTTGGAAGAGAGTGCCACTTTTTTCCCCTCAATAGAGAATCTGTCACTGCCTTCGAGCTGCAGAAAAAATTACGAGTCAATATTCACTTTCAGAAACTACTACTTGTAGTAGAAAATTTGCAGTGATCTGATGGGCATACCTTGTGCTTTAGAAAAGTGAGCGCCTCCTTCTTGGAAGAAATGCCAGAGAAGGTAGAAGGTGAATGCTCGTCAATGAGCGCTTTGAGCTGCTTCAGCTTTAATGACTCCCCAGGCACCTGCAGTACGTAGTCAGTCAGCAAAAGAAAAGTACATTAAATTTCAAATTATAGTTTCAAAATCTCAGGATCAAGTACCTGCTGAAGAAGCCGTCTACATAATATTTTAAGCTTTGGCTTCAGTTCTTCATCTTCTTCCATCTCTAGATTTTTATCTTGTTTCCTTTTCACTGAAGAATGGGAATCAGAAGAACCCTCGTCATCACTATCATCAAAAGTAGTCTTTTTCCCCTCAAAGAAGCAGCCATTGATTTTCTTGGGACGGTCTTTGATACCAAGCCCTTGTTTTCCAGAGGTGGCTTTATCCTGAAAATATACTCTTACTATCCACGAGCTTTCACTTATAATGTATTCAGTAAACTGAAGTTATATTAAAGCAAGCTCCATAGAGAATTACTTTGCAATGATTAAGCAGAAAATAAAACATCATAAGCTGAAAAGCTTCATTTGAGTTGTTCTTTTATAAAATAATAAAAAACGAATTTCTTCTTACATACATTTCATGCGAGGACTAGTACTAGTTAACAAAATCTCAACCAAGAAAATAAGAGGATACATACTTGTACAAGTTTGTAAAGGTTTTCTTGATCCTCCTCATTAAATGTCATTCTCTGATTAGGATTTTGGCTATTTTCAGAGAGAAGGGCCCTCTTTCTCCGAGATTCAGCACCTAGGATACCCCCAGCAATGAACCCATATTTGCGTCCCCACCACTCTGGTGGAACATCTTGATCCTTAACTGCCAGAAGGCTCTTGTGATGTTAAATAATTGTATTTTGTTAAACAAAAGGAAAATCAATGACAGGAAGAATGTTACAAAACGAATGAGATGAAGAGGCAATTGGTTTTATGTAAGCTATAAACTATCAAAGATGACAAACAAAGGAATTTGATAAAGGGGAATCAAAACAATAATACAGAGTTCAGAACTCAGGCGTCACAAAGATAACAGGCTTGTGTTCTTAACTTTTTAACTCCATGCATATGGCAAACAACCATTAACATGCATGTTAGTGAATATTAAAAATGTATACAAGTCTAACAATATATTTATGTTTATCTAGACTGTAAATACCATGTATTTGAATACATTATGTTCTCTAATAAAATGTCTAATCTTCAAAATCCATTTTATTTTGTTCCCAATTACTCTGCTTCTTTATTTATTTATTTATATATTTATTTATTGTGAACAAAAGTTCTAAGCATCACATGATAATAGATAATCCCAGTTGGAAACAAACAGCATAGAACTTACACCATAATACCAGCTTGAACTCAAGCTCGAATAAAGCAACTTGTGCTCAAGCTAAAATTTCTACTGCATTTTGACTTTCAGCTCGAGTATCAGGATGTTTCCAATTCAAGCCTGATTTGACAGAATCATGAAATACAAATTGTTGCACTCAGAAAATAAAGATTCCAAGGTGCCCATATTAAACAAAGTTGAGGTCTAGCCGACTACGTTGACGTGAAAAGACCTTGTTGCCAATGCATGTGATTGGAACTTCAACCTAATCAAATTAAAGTTTACTACATAGAGAACCAAAATCAAGCTCTTATTTTGCCTCATATCTTGAAACAGGGACATATGAAAGCCAGTTAGTAAACATGAATTTACTACGCAAATAACACAGGCTAGTACCAAAGAAAGCTAAAGCTAAAATGTAGACTGTTACTCATTATTGCAGAATTTAGAAGCAAATGTCGATCTAGAAGATACCATGAATATCTGGAACTTGGATTTTCATTGACTCTGCTTCCTTTGATACATCCTGATCATTACTTATATCGGGAGACTTTACCTTCTTTACCTGCAGAATACAATAGCAAGCTAAACTCAGCAACGAAGACATAAACACCAAGACAAGACGGAACAATTTTCTAGGAGTCCTGTACAAAGTTCAAACTGGAATAGGAATTAAGGAGAAATTAATGTTTTAGGTTCTTGTAAGCCAGTCAAAATTGGCTTGTAAACCCCTTTTATATTTCACAAGTGTTATATAAGTTTTTCTAGCCAGGACTCGTACGACCAAAAGGGCCCATCAGGTGCTTAATGGCCCAAAAGAAAATGCTAGGGTGCATAGCTTTACTCTTTGGGTTTATAACCACTGCAGCATATTATCCCCTTCTATATTTTAGACTCCATGAACTACCCCTCATCCCTAGCCACGACTCATTCCCACCAGCACACCAACCACTCTTGGCACCCTCCTACAGTTGGCAATTGTCCTTCACTTCCATCTCTAGCTCTTCCAAAGTGTAACCACTACATATTCAATATATTGCCACTTAAAATTTACAAATGAAAGGAATAAAACTCGTTCCTCAGGAATTTCATCTCATCTCACCTTCACAGGCTTTTTAACATTCACAGTATTTTTTTTTTTTTTTGATAGATAAAAACATTCACAGTATAAAAATAATGTAATACTCCAAAAATACGTACAATATATAATGAGGCATAAGTGCAAGTTTTGAGAAATTTGGGGTATAACTTAGAAACTTTACCATTTTTTAGGAACCCTGTGCTAATATTCTAATAATTGGAAATAAAAGTTTCAACGAAACTACAATTTAATATTTGGATATCTATTGAATTATTATTGGATATTTTGATATAAAGTGGTTAGATAAAACTTGAAAATGTGTATATATCCACACTAGAACTTTATATTAATTTAGTTATGATTTTTCTTAAATTTGAATTATATGCATCATAGGATTGTTTGCGATAAGTTGAATTTAAAAATTTTGATTAAGAGTCCTATTAGAATTCTTATTAGGTAATTATCTTAATCACAAGTATTTAAACACCCTAACCCATATGCCAATTTACAGAAATCAAAGAAAGATAAAATAAATTACAGAGACGGAGAAAGAGAAAGAGAAAGAATAGAGAGGAAAAAAACCAAGAGTAAAAGAAAGGAAGAAAAGAAAAGAAAATGTTTTTCCCTATGTCCGGGCCAGCTTGCGCGCACCTCGACTAATTCCACGGGACCCTGAAGTTTACGGCCGGATACTCACCTCAATGGCCCTAAGAGGACTCCAACTGGTGACCATTGGGGAGCAAACTCAAGGTCTGATCAATTGAGCAACCCTTTAGGGTTAAAAAAGAAAATCTTTTTCGATGTATTCGAGATCCGTTCGCAAGAATCTTCAGTCCCAAGTAACTCAAGAATACAAGAAATTTAACGAATAGGTATGGATTTCTCTAAATGTCAAGTGGTTTTGTGTTTTCACTTTTTAATATTTTAAATTAAGTATCTTATGTGCTATTATGAAATCCAAATTAAAGAAGGATCTTGTGAGTAATACCATAGGGAATTATAATGCAGATCTACACAGAAACTAGCCATAGGGCTAAATACCCTAAGTGGAGATTGAGAATGAGTATCACATAAGTTAGAATGAGACGGTCAGATTTCTATCCCACTAGAAAAGTTATGTTATGTGCGTAATTTACTTGTTTTTTATATCAGATTGTGAAAATAATAACATAAAATCTATGCGTATTCGTATGCTCATTCCATATTTAAAATATTTTTTAGATGCTTGATTGCTCGGCGTTGGAGGTTGAAACTACTGACGGAGTTCGTGTCGATAGATCAAGAATTTTATTTTCTTTCAATATTTAGCATTCAGTTTAAAATTACTTTGCAATCAAAATTTTATTTTCAAAATCGATGAATTTATATTTCATTAGTGGATTGAATTTATTTAATATATTATGAGACAACAAAATAGCTTATTTTATTCTAAAGTTTTTCAAATTTTTTTTTTTGTATTACAACAAGTCAAGCAACTTTTATAATGGCTAAATGAATTAATTGGGGCATAGGTTTCGGGGCGTTACAAATAACATGGATTTCAATTTATCAGAAGACAAAAAGATACTTTGCAATATGTTATGACCCGTCCCTAGCCAACCAGTAAGAAACCAATAACTTGGATATAATGAGATCAAGGTAATCAAAGATAAACTTACAAGAATTCCTTCAAGATCCTGAGAAGAATATGCTTGGACAAGTTTCCCCTTCTCTCTTCTCTTATACCTGGAGATATAGAAATCAAAGATGGCAAAAATCATATACCATGCAATCAAAATAGTTACAATTGATTATGGAAGAGTAAGTAAAAAAAAAAATCAATGCTTCGAAAAAACTGACCTTCCTTGCGGTCGAGTCACCTTGACAGCTGTATCATGATTGTCCTTGGAAGCCTTGTTCTGTTTTTTTGCTTCTACTTTCTTTGCTTTCGCTTTGTCTTTTTTATCAACTGTTGTGCAGCCATAATCAATAGTCAACACACTACACTTTATGATATAGACACCAATTAAATTTTAATTCCATTAAAATATACCTTTATCATTGTTAATTTCAACGGCTTGCTGTCCAATTATCGAGACAAGAACATCAGTTAAATATAAGAAGCAGCAATGATGTGGATAATATATCATCTAACGACGGAAAAGAAGTAAATTTACCACTTTCAATTTCTTGAGGATGCTATCAAACTGTGTGGTATCAAAAGCCCAAGCATTTGGCTTCTCAGTGCCTATACCTAGAATATGCACCAAATAAACATATACGTAAAAACCTCTTCTATATATCAGAACTGTCGTTCTACTGTATAATTGAAAAGAGAATAATGAAAATTTGATGCAAAACACATTGCAATTCACATGTATTTGAAGTTCAAATATGTGTTAAGTGGGTAAATTATAGAACAGAACCTAAAGTGTCTTGCTTGTTCTCCACCCTGACGTAACCTTTGATCCCTTGCTTTTCTTTCCCAAGTCCTTCTCCTTCTTCCCATCCCTGTCATTTACATTAGAAAAAATCAAGTTTAATCCCCTTACATAAAAACACAAAGACAACATACTCCAAAGGAACATTTATATATTACCTTGCACTTCTAAATTTTTCAGCAAAAGTATGCAGCAGCAGAAACCAAAGTTCGCAACATAAAAGAACGTAAAAAATCCAGCTTGCTTAAATAAATGCACATAATTTAACCAACAAAGAAAATGCTTGCAGTGCTCTTCACAGTTACCATGTTCAAGTATAGAAAATGCATTCATTTCTCAAATAATTCCATTAAATCTATGTCACGACATGTATGCCATCAATTTGGAGCCTGAATTACAACTAGTAATGATTGTTTTCAAAATTTTATTTTATTTTTCCCGAATTTAGATCATAAGTGCTCAATTCAGCGTCACCAAGCGAAGCCTAAATGTAAAATGATTTAAACGAAACAAAATCTGCTTAAAATCGTAACTTTAAATGCTATGCAAATACATGTATTACAGGCGAGAACGGAATTTTACCATTTGTTTCATGAGGCGGAAGGCGGCGGAGTTCCTATCGATTCCGACATAGCGAAGAGGGGCTTCGGGAGCCGACATATTTTTGCGATCCAAATCGAAGCGAACTCTACTATCACTCTCTCTCTCTCTCTACAGTTCACACGCAATGACAGTTTTGCTCGGCGAGAGAGAGAGAGAGGGTTCTACAGAAGCGGCAACGAGCAGCTTAAAACCTAGAACACTGGAACTTGTGGCAGATACACGGACAAGATTTCAGTCCCTTAAGATCCACGGCTGAGAATTTCCTTAAGATCCACGGCTGATTATGCATTAATAGGCAGCCACACAGTTAAGTTTACGACGTCGTATCTATTAACGTTTTCCTTTTCGGAAGGACAAATAGCGTAAATGGTCCCAAACGTTTGCCTATATCATGTACTTGGTCCAAACTTTTAAAAGTAGCGAAAATAGTCCCTTTTTTGGATCAAATGATCCTTCTAGATGAATCCATCCAAAAAAGGGGAAAATAATGCCATGACAAGGAGTTTCGACCGTTAAGATGGGGTCACTTGCCCTTTCATAAAACAGTTATTATTTCTCTACATATAGTGTCATTTGAAAGTAATGTAATTTTACATAATAGTAAGATTGGTCTCTCATTTAATTCTTAGAACTTCCAGTATTCGAACACGTTTTCTTGATGATTCACGTCTTTAGTACGTCCTACATCCAAATACATCTTTACAAATAGATTGACTTTATTGTCAAAGCGCTCGTGGCCTTCTCCCCACCACCGAAGAAGTCTGGTGCACTAACAATTTGTCTAAGCGTGCAAGACGAAGAAAATGAAAAGGGATGGAGATGAGCTTCAACAACACATAATTTACCTAAAAAATGAAGTTTTTATGGAAGTACACAGAGTAATCGTCAGAGAATAGTCAAGGATTGCCAAAAATGTTGCAAAAGTTAGAATGCCTTTAGAGATTCTGAGCTTTGCGAGGTGAAAAATTAAAAAAAAAAAAAGGCTAAAGCCCCCTTTCTATAGGCAGAGATGGAGAACTGTAACCGTTGAATCAACATGGTTTGATCTGGGATGTCCACTTGTGTATTCAATTTGGGTTGTCGAAGGCGAAAAGGCACCTCTTCAAATTTGAATGAAAGGCCAGGATTAATGTGTGACACTCACACGCCCGCTAAAGAGTGTCTTCTCGGACGACATAACTATATCATTACACATTAAATGCACATGTAATGTGTGCATTGAAACCACGCAACGCCTCAACGGTCGTTTCTTGAGAAAATGCAACATTTTAAATCATTTATCTCACGTCCCATCAATGTCTTATCGTATCACACTGTACCTCTGCCTCAAATTCTACTAATGGTAGTTATTTTTCATAAGCTCTCCCTCGTGTAAGGGCCTCGCATCAAGATCAATTCAAACTTATCAAAGGTTGTCTCTTCTCTACAGGCTCGCCCTTATAAGAGTCTCGCCTCAAGATTTATTCAGCTTTATCAAATTATGTCTCTTTTCAATAGGCTCGCCCTCACGCAAGGGCTTCGCATCAAGATCAATTCAGCCTTATCAAATGTTGCCTCTTCTAAACAAGCTCTCCCTCACACAAGGGCTTTGCCTAACAACTAGGTTCACACACACTATCATAAAGATTACACACCTTAAATATTACAAGTCAATGCATTATATGAATATCCATTCTTCGACTTAAGGGGGACTATGGTGCTATGTTATCTATTCACAATTAAAGCACAAGTTCAACTAACACAAAGTACTCTATACCAAAGAATCACTTCTCCAATAATAGATTACACAACATGGATAACACACATCAATTCAAAAAGTCCAAACATTATATGAATATTCATATATGGATTTAGGGGACTATTGTTATGCATCATCCAATAAGGTTCTTAGCATGGCCTCGTGACAACCACATTATAAGCAAATCTAGACTCGTACTCCACATCACTTTGCCTACTTGGGCGAACCCCCATGGAGATGCTGAACACCCATGATAGGTCAAAACCTTTGTAGACAAAGCAAAGTGATATGAGGCTGCAACCCAAATCCAAAGTGAATAGTCTCTAGTTTATGAGACACATTCCTATAAGATTTTTTGCACAAGATCTTCTGTAATTGATTGATGTGAGCTTTTTACAACATCCACTTTACCGAATCAACTCCTTACATATCAGGCATAGACCCTAGGGTGGCTAAGGGTCAAAAATATTAAATGCGCTTGAATCTAGGATGGATATAATGACCTCTATAACAAGATGTCTTGACCACTAAGATGGGGCCACATGTCTCTCCATCAAACGACTATCATTTATCGTCTTCTACTATAACAATTCAACACATAGTGTCATTTGAAGGTAATAAAATTTTACATGCTTAAATATATATTTACAAATAGACTTATGTTATTGTCGGAATGCTTGCGACCATCTTTCCCACTATCGAAGAAGGTTGTGTGCTCTAACTGATAACCCAAGAATACCTAACCAAAAGGGGGTGAATTGGTTTTTTGAAACTTTTTCAACACTTAATCTTCAAACAATACAATACACAAGATATGAATGCAAAGTATAATACTATAATTAAATATGCAATATCAATAACTTAATTCAAGTAAGAATATAGCACAATATAAATTGCAATGTAAAGTAAAGTGCGATAATGTAAAGATAAAAAACCAATTTAATGGGGTTCGATACACAATTTGTTCTACGTCCCCGTTACCAAGTTCTCTGTCACGAGCAAGCCCAAATGCACTAAAATGGTAACTTATAAACAAGGAGTACCGATCCTTAAGTGACTTACAACAAGGAGCACTTATCTTTAGGTGACTTACAACAAGGAGCACCTATCATTAAGTGATTTTCAACAAGGAGCACTTATCCTTAACACATTCAACATTTCACAAGGCTTTCGAAACCGCTAAAGTATAAATGATAATTTTATAATTGAAAGAACTATCTTAATAAATGATATAATCAAGTNTCAAGTAACCTCAATGATTTTCAACAAAATAAGATCTCTAAATATCTCTTGTAAGTGGTTGAAAATTGAATGCAAAATGGTGGATATTTAGAGAGCAAAATGGACACTCTCAGTCACTTTCAGTTGACCTAAAGTGTATAGCCGTTGAAAAATCAAACTGTTGGAATTTCAGTTGACAAATTCTACATTTGTGGTCGACTGAAGTTTGAATTTTCGGTTGACCGAAAGGTGACTTTTTTTAAAAAAAAAATTGCATTTTCAAATTCTATTTCATATTATGAATGAAAAGCATTTTTATGCAAGTGATGAATTATGAAAATAATTTGAAATTTATGCACTTGCTAAGAATCGATGAGTTAATACATTTACAATTAAGTTTCGATAAACTACTTCTAAGTTTTAATTTTCAAAGTTCTTGTTCTTGTTTTCTTCAAGTCTCATTTGATTGCTTGTTCTTCAACGGATGACAATTTGAGCCTTTGAATATTTAAAAAGGTATATTCATGAAATACTCAAGAAACAAAACTTGTTAGAAATATAAGTGTATTGTTTGTTATAATCAAAACAAGTGGAGCTATATTGAATCATAAGTCAACAATTTCCCCCTTTTTGATTATGACAACCAATATGTGATTTGTAATGTGATTTGTAGAAATATACGAGATATTCCCCATATCTTTTACACATTAATGGGAACCAAGTTTGTATCATATAAAGTATGATGTTCTAAAGACATGCATTTTCATAATTCATTGNTTTCCACAATTCATTGACATAGTAAATCACATCTAGAGGTCATCATATTAATAGAAATAATTGAACTCACAAATTCCATAATGATAGTAGAGGTCACAAATTATAATTGCAAGTCACAATTACAATCACATTTTCCTTCCCTTTCCCCATTTTGGCATCATCAAAAAGGAATGGAGACAATGAAGCTAGTAAAATTCCCCCTTAATTAAGGCATAGGCGTAAGTTAGGAAAAACTAGTGAAAGTAATCATAGGTCACGATATGAAAAATAAAGCATGAGTTCAAAAACGAAAATAGAATTTAGAGATAATGTTCTAATCTTCCGCCGGTAGAGGAGGCCCGCGAGGATAAATGAAATACATGTGTGGAAAGAAGGACTCTAGAGATAAACTCATTTGCTCCATTCGTTGATCAAGCACATTGACAGTAGTAGTAAGAGAATCAATCCGGCCTTGTAGGATGTTGAAATGATCTTCGGTCATATATCGGCCGGGGGTCGGTGCTACTTGTGGAGTATGACCTTATGTTGTGCTTGAGGAGAATCATCACCTTCATCACCATGACCACCCATTTCTTCTTCCGACACTTGTAAAGTGAATGGCCAATAAGTAGGCCTCGAGTTATTTTCATGCGTTTAAGGGTGTTGAGATTAATGACATCGGTGTGTTTGTGCTTAAGAAAAGGCTCATCGTCTAATGGCACATTGAAATATTGAAATATTCTTGTAAGAAACATGCCATAAGGTAAGCCTATAGCTCTAGGAGACTTGTGGATCTGTCGAATGTAATTCAAAAAGAGGTAGGAAAAGTCCAATTGACGACAATAAGAAATGAGTCAAGAATGAACAAGTCGAGGTGATGAACATCTTCAAAATGTCCACTCCGAGGGACTATAATATGAACAATAGCACGATGAAGAATTTTGCATGGTATAGTAAGGTGATGTAGGTTTAAGGTCATTGCAGTGGATAGTGGCCGATCGGTGATTCAACAACAAGCTTCGAGTTCATCATAGCCCTCAAACCTAACGGGATAATGATGAATATAATCAAGATTTTCACATTTCCCTAACCCAACTATTTCTCTAATGATATTCCTATCGAGTGTAATTCATTTTTCTTTAACAGTGCAAGTGACACGAAGTGAGTAAAATGAGAGATCTCGGAAAATTCATGAATTAAATTAGGATAGATATTTTCCGAGATAGTGACCACATTTGTCCACCCAATATTCACAAAATAATTATCCATCCTAAGTGAATGAGCTTTGGTAGAGAATTCAAAGAAATCAATTGACTTGCCAATTAGAATGGGACAATCGATG